CCAATTATATTTGTGGCTATTGGGACCTAGCGGTATGTTTAAATAATATGCGACAGAAAAATTACTAGGAAATATCGAATTTAATTTATTGGAGATTTCTTTAAACACTTATTCTTTTACTCGAAAAGAAACATGTAGAAGTTTATATAAGTATCTTACATACTTCGTAGTGCAGGATATAGGTATAGATCATGACTCAAGGGAGAAAAATACAATATAAATGAATAACGATGCAGATATGTCGTTATTATTTTGGGTATTGATTCATGTGAATTATTCATTTTTTATCTCGAAAAATTTTTTTTGAAGATTTTTATTTTGATGTTTAAGATATGAAAATATTGATTCAGGGATGATTTGTTTCTCCTTGAAAATATTATAATCAATATGTTAGTGCTCAGTTGTTTTCTCTTCAAATTAAATTGCGTAATAACTAAAATATCTCACATCAGGTTCACTTACATTTATGACTATAACATTTTGAAATTGATCATTTTGCACAAAATTTTTCATCTATTATATGTTGTTTTTTCAAGGGGGGAACGGCAGATTCCGGGACTCCGAGAGTCTACGGACTCCATGAGACTCCATGGGACTTCAAGGGAATCCAAGGGATGGGTGTGGATGTGGGTGTGGGTGTGGGTGTGGGTGGGGTGAGGGTGTGGCTGTGGCTGCGGGTGTGGGTGCGGGTGTGGGTGTAAGTGAAAAGAAAAGAAATACCCACACCCACACCCAAATTGTATTTTGTTCAATTTGATATATTAAATTTAATTTAATTTGATCAGTTTTTTTATTAAATAAATATAATTTATTCCATTCATCAGCTTTTTTTATTGATGGTAAATAACTAAGTAAAATTGTTTCTAGATTTATCATTAGATCAAGATTTTGTTGACCAAAATTCATAGAAAAAATAACTAATTCCTATAGGATACAATGAACTATGAAATTATCTTATGTTTTGTTTTGTTTTTATTTAGCTATACATTTTTAAAATTTCTTTCTGTTAATTTTATTGTATTTGGTTTTATAAAAATTACACCACCATCTTCAAATGATTTATCTATTCCGATCTAAAATAAGATTTTATTTTTATTAAATTGATCAATATGAATAACATACTCCAATATAAGATTCATCAGTTTTTATTGATTGATTTAACTGTGGTAGAACTATACAAATAAGTAGGCTTTTTTTTTGTTGCACATGAAAGATATTTACTTATACTTGATCGTTTACTAGAACGAAATCGTTCTTGAGGATCACAAAAGAATATAGGTAAAATATGAATATTTTCATCATTAAAAAAATGTTGAATTGAGTTCCACTAGAATAAATCATGAAAAATATTATTCTTAAAAACAAACATATTCTTTGTATACATTTTGTGTTTCTTGACAATATTCAACAATTAGACTTGATTGAAAATTAGAAAAAAATGCTAAAATATCAAAAAGAAATGTATGAACATTAGCTATTGTTTCATTTGTAAGATTTTCTTTTAATAATATATCTTCATCTTGATTTTCTTTCTCAATTCTTTCTTCATGTATTTCTTCAGCAATAGTTGGTTCAACATTATTAATTTTTGTTTCTTGTTCTATAATATTTTCAATATCATCCATTGATTATTGAAAATTATCATTTATTTTAAAGCGCTCTTTTTTATTATAACATTGTTGAGTACAATTCTGCATGAGTAGCATCAATTTTTGATAGTTTGAAATAAGTCTAAGTTGAATCTATGAAGCAATATTATACTTACTTTATATGTATGCATTAGTACAGGAAGAGATCAAAAGTCGAATGAAATATTTGTCAAGCGTTAAATTAAACTTAAGTCTCAACCAAGCAATCGACTCATATATATTCATCTAATAGAATAAAGATTACGTCTGACAGTTGAACAAACTACTCAATTAATGTATCGTAACAATCTTTTGAACATCTATGAAGTAGATCCGAGCTAATCTCAATGGCTCATCAGCATCCTTCAGTTTCAGTTCTATTATAGTGGCCTATAAAATAAAAGCAAGAACAGATGTATTGAAGAAAAATTAAATTTAGTTAGATGAAAATTTCTTAAAATTTTCCAGTTATTCAATATAAATATACTTGTACAAATTGAGTTTATTCAGATTGATTGGTACTCACCTAGCTCAGGTGATTTCCCTGGTATCTCTCGAAAATTTTCGTTAGATCTTAGTCGTGTCATTGAAAATTTCTTTCACTATATTTGTTGATTTTGAAATTAAGACGAAAGTAAGCTTGACCATGTCGATTAATGCCGTGACAAGAACAAGAAACTGCTTGGTTTTCATCTCTGAACAATCTAAAAATCAATCGCCAACTTTTCCTTTGCACAGGATAAATTCACCAAAATTATTCAAACGAATCATATGTATCTAGGGCAGATTTTTAGAAAAATTTTTCTTCCTAGCGTTTGATCAGATCACCTGGCAAGAATAGTCATATGTCTAAATGAAAGAATCTCATGAATGAATAAATGAGTGTGAATAATAATGAAGCGAAAATCAACATCTACATGCGTAGTTACATTCACATCCATCTACACTATTCTCGAGTATAGTATATGAAAATGTTGTGAGTTTGTTAATAAGAACAAAAAAATTGTAGTAGCCACCAGTAAGTCAGAACTGTATCAATTTGTTTCATAGTGCTTTTCTGCAGAAGATCACAATAAATGCAATTTTCTCTGAACAGAAATTTCATTAATATTTATTTTAGTTAACATTTTTTATCGATCTAGAATTTATCGTATGTAAAATCTATTTGAATCAGATAAAAATTTCTCTCTATACAAGTGGTAAGAAAATGTCATCTTTAGCATTCTGAAGTTTGATAGTATGCTAGAAATTCTGTCATCTGCTACTTCAAGCATAATTTTATTGGATTAGAATATGACAACAGCAATTTGGATACTGAGGACAAGACGAGAAAATTTTTGGATAAGTTAATTCCGGAAGAGTAGATTATTTGCTTATCTAATTTAATGAGTGAAATGTTTGGTGTCAGCTTTTCATTCACGCTTAGTCAATTAGATTATCTATCTCATTCATCTTTTGCTTTGACATCACGGATACGTAGCTTTATATGTCTCGGTAATCAACAAAATATTTGTGTCATTCATGATTTTCATTCGTCAGTTATCTCACTTACAAAAAACCTCTCGGATTTCTTCTAGTTCC